CTTTACAAACACTGGTGGGTCGTTTTAGAGAGTTCACTGGGGTCGCCGAATGTTGAGGCTCATAAAACCCATAAAAGTCTCCACCGCTCAGCTGGCTCGATACAGCGGAGCTCCAACATCAGCACAAACACTTTAGTCCGCAGAGTGTTTCTTCTTACGTAGGAAAGGCACTGCTAAAGTTTACACTGTTTCTTTTCAAATTTAAAGTGGTTGAAACCAATAAGAATTTAGATAAAATAGCCATTTTTATTTATTCATTTATTTATTGTTTAGTTAAATTCGCCCTGGAACAGACTGACAAACCTGGTGACAATGAAGCCTGCCTCTTGCCCAACATCCGCTGGGTCGTGCTCCTAGCTGTCTAAACTGGATAAGAGAAAATGGATGGAAAAGTATTTAAGACAGCCTTTCATTCTCATTCATTTGCTTCATTCTGTATCGGTCTTGTATTTCAGTGACAAGGTGGCACACAGTGGTCTGTTCTTGCTGTGCGTGGTGAGGTGCAGAGATAAAGCTTGAATGCCAGATAAATCCATTTTCTGGTAAATTGCAGTAAAAAAATTGTTACAAGTTTAACGTTTCTGTAAAGTGGAGTTCAGAAGAATGCTGTCCAAGGGGGCGGTACCTTAGTGGGTACTGCTGTACAAGTTGATTCTGATCATCTGGATGTTTTCAGTGAGAGAAACATGTCGTCACTCATCCAGGTGACGTCTTCAGTCCCAGCTGACTGCAGGTTTCCAACCTTATAAACAGGACATTTGCACAATGTAACCAGCACCAGGAACAATGGGCTGTGAGGTCAGTTCCTTGATCATTAATATGCAAATTCTCATGAACATTGATCAGTGGCTGTTGATCAATGTCCATGAGTCCCATTCACAGAGAGTTGGGGAATGGCTGCAATCACAGCATGTAAGATGGCAAAAGATGTACCCTTAGGCCCCCTCCTCGATTCAGAGATGGTCTTTCCCTTGACTCCGCCCTCAAACCAGCGTTCCTCCCTGTCCAGGATGTGAACAGCCTCATCATTGAAAGAGTGTCCAGTGTAGGTGTAAATCGACTGCAGAGTCCTGGCCTGACGAGGAGGCTCTTCTGTGTTGTGCCATCCCTCCACCACACCCTTGATAAGGAGAAAGCAGAAGAAGAAAGAGAGACAACAAATGAGTCTCTTATGAAATCTTACTGAATATCAGTTTTGCTTTCAGATTACATCTATAAAACAACACTCATTCATGCAGCGTGATGTCACGCACTTTTGGACGTTTTCAGCTTTCAGGTTTTTGAATTCCTTCAGCTTTTAGAGGACAAAGACTAAAGATAATCAAAGTCAGTCCCTGTTTGATGAACCCTCTACCAAGGCTGGACTGGGACAAAAAATCGGCCCGGGCATTTTGACTAGAGACCGGCCCACCAGGA